TATCAGGCGAGCAAATCCGCCTAGCGCGCATGATCAAATTTCGTACGAGATTAGTTTTGTATAAAGTCGAGCAATAGGAGTCGTAGACAATGTATTGCCCGGTGAACGTTGGTTTTCGATATACTGAAGTTGAAACACCCATCTCCGTTTTCTCGACTAACACATCGAGAAAAGACAAACAGTTTGACTGCTCATGTTCACATGTAAATTTCAGAGCGGGATGTAGGTTGTTGAGCATACCAAGAAACTCATTCGATTGTTCCAGATTACGGAAATGCGTGAACGAATCATCCACGAATCTAATATATAAGCTAGGCCACATCGCACGTGGAATCTTCGATTCATAAAACCCGACAAACACATTGGCCAGAACTGGACCCAATGGTGAACCCATGGCCACCCCGTCAATTTGGCGGTACATGGTGTCATCAAAAGAGAATTCAACATCAGTTGTCATCATCTGCATTAGTCTGCGGAACGCAGTTTCGGACATCCAGGGAGAATCGAACTGTTTACTGTACTCTTTATCGTGGTACAGAGCATTAGCGCAAATGTCAATTGTCTCCATCACGGGCACATTGGTGAACAAGCTTACAACGTCGAAGGAGCACATGTAGGAAGAAGACGGTACGGGCTGCTCACGCAGGATATCGATGAATTGGAAAGTGTCTTTTACATTGTGTTTGCAATAGTACTTAGCTACTGGTGTAATAATATCGCACAACCATTTCGAAACTGTATATTGAGGTGAACCACGCATTGAAAGTATTGGGCGAAGAGGACAATCCTTCTTATGGATTTTCGGCAATCCATAAAGTCTGGGACGTGTTGAACCAATCGGTTTAATTCGTAAGTACTCATATTTAGATATTTCCTCTGCATTCCGCAGCTTCCGCAAGTACTTGATGATATCAGATTCTATAGCTATTGTACGGTCGTGTATCTGTACAGGGCCTAACCTAACAAACTTCGACCGATCATCAAGGATAGTAGCCATCTTCGTGTGGTATTGTTCTTTAGTGATTATAACAGTGGCTCTACCTTTGTCCGGTCTCGTGATAATAATGTCTTTCCGTGCTCTGAGATCTCGGAGGGCTTTCAAGTGCTCTCGAGACAAAGAGAAAGATTTACGGTCTGGTTGTTGTGCGGCATGCTCTTCAGCTATCGATCTCAGCTTGGCAGCACAACGTGACTTCTGAGTATCCGAACAAGGTCTGAATTCAGATAATTTATTGTAAAGTAGTTCAAATTCCATTAAAGTCACTTCAGGTTTCAGCGAAGTAGGAGGAACTCCGTAATCAATGCCCCTACACAAGAGATCTTTCTCTATGTTACTAAGTTCTACATTGGCGATGTTGATGATGGTGCTATGGTCAATGGTGAAGGAGCCGAACCGTTTCTTACGAAGCCAGTTCAAATTCTTACGATATTTTGTAATCAGGTGAACTTGTTGGTTAGCGTCGTTCTGAGACAGAAGGTTCGAGAAACGCAAGAAGTCCAACGGCGAGAGAAAGGAACGAGCCAGAGCGTATAGATGCCTGAACTGGGATTTGACTTTGCTAAGAGTGTCCTTACTACGGCTAGTCTCAAGAAAATCGATTAGGAACAACCATTTTAGATACATGTATTCTCATTCATCATTTTGTAATGTCCGCTTCACTAATACTATTAATCGCATTGATAAAGTTATTGTCTCCTCGTCGCCAAATCATGATTTATTCTATTTTCTATCGACTGCGGTGGTATTGGTCATGAAGTTGGTTGTTCCAACGAGGACCACACGCTTCTTGCCGAACTTGACACTTGACTGACTCACGACTGCCATCCGGAGCACACGAGGAGTACGTCGCACCTTCCACTCTGCAAACCTGCAAGAAAGCACCACTCCCTGCTCAATACAGAGTGTTTCAGGGAATTCACCCCTCATCAGTTGAGCTTGAGTAGGCTGAGGAAGATTATGCCTGAAAAGCACCACTTATATACTGCTCTCCAGACCAAACCATCACCAGGGATACAAACTTACAAAGACGCTTTGTTTCCAGCGCGACAAACACCTCATGGTTCCCCAGGTAGCAGCGTGAGTCAGAGTCGCTCACGGAGTTGTGCTAAACAGACGTTGAGAGCCAGTGGCTATTCACAATGCTGTCACCTCCAACAACTAGTCGCACGTCTGCTTGAGGGACAACGATACGAACTTAGAAGTCTCAAATTCGGCTAGAAGCGTGTGTTGCTCGTTGGAACAACCAACCTCATGATTTATTGAAAAAAAGGACCAAGGAACTACAAGTTACGCTATAATGTCAACTAACACCACCAGTTACTAAACAATCAGCTCATGCGATAACATTGCACGACACTGACCGACGGTACTGGCGTTCTACAACTAACTGGCTAACAGCTCTAGCACATCTTGGATGCGCACTCCAACAGCCTTCCAACTTGGAAGGTTCTAAGTTATAGAAATAACATAAGGAGGGGAAGGTGAGCGAAACCAAGATAAGCACGAGCTGAAAGTCTCAGCTGTGAAAGGCGTTGGCGGATGTTCATGCATGTCGATGACGATATTGGCAAGACCATTGGACAATACAGTCGAACCACGATTCAAGAACGCAACGCAACATTCCACACACCTTGTGTGGCTCAAAAGATTCTAAGATCAATTAAAGAACCTTAGAACCCTCCAAGTTGGAAGGCTGTTGGAGTGCGCATCCAAGATGTGCTAGAGCCGTTAGCCAGTTAGTTGTAGAACGTCAGTGCCGTCGGTCAGTGTCGTGCAATGTTATCGCATGAGCTGATTGTTTAGTAACTGGTGGTGTTAGTGGACAGTATAGCGTAACTTGTAGTTCCTTGGTCCTTCTTATTTTCAATAATACGAGAGAGCTTGGAAGCTCAGGGCCCTCTGCTATGCTTTTTTGCCTTGATGACCCAGGCAAAAAAAAGCATAGGGATGTTATAAATTTTTCATTCCTCCTATTTTTTCAAGACATAACCTGGGATTCGAACCCGCACAATCGCCCTGCATGCATCTCCCGATGCACTTCGCATACATACTAATTCTTCCAAGTTGCTTCACGTTATGATCTTGCATTTGAAAGCCCTATTTGAATATTGTGGCCAGCTGTTTGTGGCCAGCCGTCTTTGATGGTACGGTACGGGACAGGTATGGTCGAGGGTAATGCGACAACGTCTACCACCTTGATGACCTAGGCGAAAAAAGCATAGGGATGTTATACATTTTTCAATTCTCCAATTTTTTTCATGTTTGCCATGTTTGCAGACTGCACTTAGGCAGGCTGGTGACGATGTCAGGTGACGGAGTATCGCTGAGTCCTTCTCATTATCGTCATTGTCCATTGAGGACTCAGCGATACTCCGTCACCTGACATCGTCACCAGCCTACCTAAGTGCAGTCTGCAAACATGGCACCCACTCTCACTTCACCATTCAAGCGCGTGCGCGCAACAAATCTCACCTTGCTGTGCTGGAGGCAGTGTACATTGCCAAGCTGACGTCTGAACTGTGCGTGCAAAAGAAGTATGTGCGAAAGTTGTCACTGTTTTGACATTGTAGTACCGTGGTCCCCACTGTTGTCTGATACTGGTAATATTCATTGTCTCACTGTGAAGTTGGCGCCACTAGCGCTATCTTTTAAGTGCTATTTGGTCTATGCTCTGACCGCCAAATATGCTGTTGGCGCCACTAGCGCTATTTTTCAAGTGCTATTTTTGTCAATGCTCTGCCCGCCAAAAGTGCCGGTTATAAGGACTCGCTTACTACCTTGTTAATCACCATTGTATTCGACCTGAAGAGTAATAGAATGAAAGGCCTAGCAAGAGTTTCTGAACCAAACATTTTCGTTCCCATCTCATCACGGGACGACCATACAGGGAATATTGCGACATGACTAAGATAGCATGATGGTATGGGCAAAGGATTGCGGTGAATACCACATCACTCTACAAGTGCTACATGGTCGGTTTAGCTAGAGAGTCGGAAACAGCACTAAGGTGGAAATAACATTTTAGAAACAATCTGGCCGAGACAACGTGCAAATGTGCGTAGTGCTGTCATGTGTAAAAATGGGAGCATATGGATTCGGTTGAGCAGTAGTGGTGTGTACCTGTGTGCGTGTGTTATTAGGTATACTGCATATGTGATCCAGAGTTACAGGCATATCTCAGTTATGGGCAGTGGCTGGTACAAGACAGTCATATCTCAGTTATGGGCAGAAGCTGGTACAGGACAGTCATATCTCAGTTATGGGCAGAAGCTGGTACAGGACAGTCATATCTCAGTTATGGGCAGAAGCTGGTACCGGACCGTCATATCTCAGTTATGGGCAGAAGCTGGTACAGGACAGTCATATCTCAGTTATGGGCAGAAGCTGGTACAGGACAGTCATATCTCAGTTATGGGCAGAAGCTGGTACCGGACCGTCATATCTCAGTTATGGGCAGAAGCTGGTACAGGACAGTCATATCTCAGTTATGGGCAGACGTTGGTACAGGACAGTCAAGATAACAGAGATATGAGTGTACTGTGTCTTGCTGCTGCTGCTGCTGCTGATATGCATACTTATATGTTCTGCGGAGGATGTCTAAAACAGGACCCAAATTATTAGAGTTTTCATGCGTTTTCATGTGTGTGTGCGTGTGTGTGTGTGTGTGTGTGTGTGTGTGTGTGTGTGTGTGTGTGTGTGTGTGTGTGTGTGTGTGTGTGTGTGTGTGTGTGTGTGTGTGTGTAGGGATTCACTGGCCAGAAAAGTCACTTCAAACAGCTGTGTGGTGGATACCAGGCTAAAAATAGTGGCGGTCAATTCATCAGCCTTGCAAGCTGTTGAATGGTGTAATCCCAGCACAAGTTGCTATGTCTAACATAGCTGTTCGCTATCATCGCTCCCGCGATGGGCATGTCTGAGGTCTGATGTGTGTGTGTGTGTGTGTGTGTGCGCGTGCGTGTGTGTGTGTGTGTGAAATTGTCATGTCTATGTTATTGTGTAGATACTGTCAACATTGCTCCAGGGAATTCATCCTACACTGCATCCCACAGGGCATCCCACACTGCATCCTACAGTAAGCAGCAGCAGAGATTTTCCCGACAGCTGCTTGGCAGTGACGCAACGACATCATCAAACGGCTCAGCAAGTGACAGCGGTTATCACCCATAGACGTCAACAATGTGTTCAGCGGATATAGCCGTCGGTCCAATCACAAGCCGTCAGATCCCTCCCCATGGTGTCAATGATCGGCAACAACAGATGCACTTCCCACTGCTACAACATCAGTATGCCAGGTATACACAGTGACCGCCACAACCAACACTGCAGTAGCAGCAGCTGTAACATCAGCCATCGCCACATCATCCTATACAGTTTTCAACGCATGGAATGCTCACAGGACTTCTCTCTTGAACTCTGTAACACGTGGTGTGTGTGACATCACAGTATCACTCCAATTGGTGTGTGACATCACAGTATCACTCCAATTCCAGTGACATCACAGTATCACTCCAATTCCAGTGACATCACAGCATCACTCCAATTCCAGCCTGTCAGCCTGTCTCTTCACCGCTCCACACCGTCATTAATCATGAGACCCATGTTGCACAACCATCATGCTCTACTAAAGCAGCAGCAGCACCACCACCAACATCACCACCTCCACAACATTCTGCTGAACTGCCTGATAGCCATCCTGTTGTTCCCATGCAAAAGAGGGCAGTTACTGGATCTGGGAGAGGCCAATCAGCAGCTGCTGCACTCGAGCAGTCGTCATAGTTTCAGTCAAAAGTGTGATGTGAGCGCTTGAACCTTTCAGTCTCGGTCCTGCTAGGCGTCTTCTAGTGGCAGCAGGACATTTCTTCCACTGTCCAGGTTTGACAACTTTGTTGCCGAAACCATGATGCTCTCTGGTGAGTTATCTCTGAGTTGTTGTGCCACTACTGCTGATTCTTCAAACACACACAAACATGCACCCTCTGTCACTGTCTAGTTGAATGGAGAGATTAGTGGTTTCCATGGTTATGGAGACTGCACTGGTGATGGACTTGTTCTGTCTTTGTTAGTTGCTTTGTGGAAATGTATTGTATTGGCGGTACGGCTGTGGGAGGTGTAAGAGAAGATTTGTTCTACTGTAGCGCATACCACTGCCACTGAGCACACTACTATATTATTAAGGCCGATTCACAATACAACTTTCTGCGACGCGACATGCGACTTGCGACACATGCGACGAGCTGCGACAGCGACACACGGTTCACAATATTCTTCATGTTTGCGACATCCTCATGCACAAGTAGTACTATGCACGTGCACTGCACGTGCACCCAGGGTCGAAACTGTACTCCATTTGTGCATGTCGCGTGTCGCATGTCGCAAAAGTTGAATTTTCTTCAACTTCTGCGACAGGTGCATTGCGACAGCTCGCGACAGGCAGTTTCTTGTCGCAACTGTCGCAAATTGCGTGTCGCGTCGCAGAAAGTTGTATTGTGAATCGCCCTTTACTCTTGCTTCTAGACAGCAATAACTTGTACTGAAGTACTGCTGCTAACGTGTGTGCTTTGACTCACGTTTTGCTGTGCTTCTCATTTTGCCAAGTGGATTGCTAGTGCTTGTGTATTCATGAGTTTTCAGCTAACACCTTACTACAGCAATGACGTACTCTTGCTGTAGCTTGCTAGCAATGGCGTACTCTTGCTGTAGCTTGCTAGCATTTGAGCTTGTTGGCACAAGAGTATGGTGTGAAAGTTCACACGTCCGCCTTACAACCGGCTATACAATTGCGTTGAGAAACATAACCAGCTGAGGAAGTTTGGCTAGTGCCAGGCCACCATCATGCCTGTATTACCAGGCCACCATCATGCCTGTATTACCAGGCCACCACCATGCCTGTATTACCAGGCCACCATCATGCCTGTATTACCAGGCCACCATCATGCCTGTATTACCAGGCCACCATCATGCCTGTATTGCCAGGCCACCATCATGCCTGTATTACCAGGCCACCACCATGCCTGTATTACCAGGCCACCATCATGCCTGTATTACCAGGCCACCACCATGCCTGTATTACCAGGCCACCATCATGCCTGTATTACCAGGCCACCATCATGTCTGTATTACCAGGCCACCACCATGCCTGTATTACCAGGCCACCACCATGGCTGTATTACCAGGCCACCACCATGCCTGTATTACCAGGCCACCATCATGTCTGTATTACCAGGCCACCATCATGCCTGTATTACCAGGCCACCATCATGCCTGTATAACCAGGCCACCATCATGCCTGTATTACCAGGCCACCATCATGTCTGTATTACCAGGCCACCACCATGCCTGTATTACCAGGCCACCATCATGCCTGTATTACCAGGCCACCATCATGCCTGTATTACCAGGCCACCATCATGCCTGTATTACCAGGCCACCATCATGCCTGTATTACCAGGCCACCATCATGCCTGTATTACCAGGCCACCATCATGCCTGTATTACCAGGCCACCATCATGCCTGTATTACCAGGCCACCATCGTGCCTGTATTACCAGGCCACCATCATGCCTGTATTACCAGGCCACCACCATGCCTGTATTACCAGGCCACCACCATGCCTGTATTACCAGGTCACCATCATGCCTGTATTACCAGGCCACCATCATGCCTGTATTACCAGGCCACCATCATGCCTGTATTACCAGGCCACCACCATGCCTGTATTACCAGGCCACCATCATGCCTGTATTACCAGGCCACCATCATGCCTGTATTACCAGGCCACCATCATGCCTGTATTACCAGGCCACCACCATGCCTGTATTACCAGGCCACCATCATGCCTGTATTACCAGGCCACCATCATGCCTGTATTACCAGGCCACCATCATGCCTGTATTACCAGGCCACCATCATGCCTGTATTACCAGGCCACCATCATGCCTGTATTACCAGGCCACCACCATGCCTGTATTACCAGGCCACCACCATGCCTGTATTACCAGGCCACCATCATGCCTGTATTACCAGGCCACCATCATGCCTGTATTACCAGGCCACCACCATGCCTGTATTACCAGGCCACCATCATGCCTGTATTACCAGGCCACCATCATGCCTGTATTAGTACTATTACCAGGCCACCATCATGCCTGTATTGCCAGGCCACCATCATGCCTGTATTACCAGGCCACCACCATGCCTGTATTACCAGGCCACCATCATGCCTGTATTACCAGGCCACCATCATGCCTGTATTACCAGGCCACCATCATGTCTGTATTACCAGGCCACCATCATGCCTGTATTACCAGGCCACCACCATGCCTGTATTACCAGGCCACCATCATGCCTGTATTACCAGGCCACCATCATGCCTGTATTGCCAGGCCACCATCATGCCTGTATTACCAGGCCACCACCATGCCTGTATTACCAGGCCACCATCATGCCTGTATTACCAGGCCACCACCATGCCTGTATTACCAGGCCACCATCATGCCTGTATTACCAGGCCACCATCATACCTGTATTACCAGGCCACCACCATGCCTGTATTACCAGGCCACCATCATGCCTGTATTACCAGGCCACCATCATGCCTGTATTACCAGGCCACCACCATGCCTGTATTGCCAGGCCACCATCATGCCTGTATTACCAGGCCACCATCATGCCTGTATTACCAGGCCACCATCATGCCTGTATTACCAGGCCACCATCATGCCTGTATTACCAGGCCACCACCATGCCTGTATTACCAGGCCACCACCATGCCTGTATTACCAGGCCACCATCATGCCTGTATTACCAGGCCACCATCATGCCTGTATTACCAGGCCACCACCATGCCTGTATTACCAGGCCACCATCATGCCTGTATTACCAGGCCACCATCATGCCTGTATTACCAGGCCACCATCGTGCCTGTATTACCAGGCCACCATCATGCCTGTATTACCAGGCCACCACCATGCCTGTATTACCAGGCCACCATCATGCCTGTATTACCAGGCCACCATCATACCTGTATTACCAGGCCACCATCATGCCTGTATTACCAGGCCACCACCATGCCTGTATTACCAGGCCACCATCATGCCTGTATTACCAGGCCACCATCATACCTGTATTACCAGGCCACCATCATGCCTGTATTACCAGGCCACCATCATGCCTGTATTACCAGGTCACCATCATGCCTGTATTACCAGGGTGGCAGATGCAGCGCGTAGCGGTGAGGGTGAGGTGGTAACTCTCACAACCATTGCCTGACAGGGGGGCGAACTTCATTAGCTGCATCCATGAGAGCATGGTGTAGGAAGCAATATTGGAGCCTAGGCGACATGAGCATTAGCTGAAACTTTGAGCATTTCATGTGGTAGGAAAACAATTATGATTGACTTTGCCATTCCATTCTTATTTTTGCATTGTGTGCAATGCTGTGAAGGAGAATGCATAACAAGTTTTCCTCAAGGACCAGCTGCAAAATAGGACAACGCGGTGTGCTGCCTTCCAATGTAAGATCTGTGTGCTATTGTGTTTCTGTGTGTGTGTGTGTGTGTGTGTGTGTGTTTGTGGGCACGCGCGTGTGCGCGTGTGCATGTGTGTGTGGGTGTTCGTGTGCGTGTTTTCGGTAAGTGCATGCGTACGTGTGTGTGTGGGGGGGGGGGGGCAAGGGGTGAACATTTGTAACAGAGTATACAGAACAACAGGGACAATCAAGGCTTGTTTGCTGCTACTTCAAGTTTCATGCTCTCGCAATCATCAGGCAACATGAGGATGGGGTGCCGAACATGCTGGTATATATGCCAGGAGAGGGTGGGTCTTGTAGCCCTGTATGAAAAGCTATGTGAGAATGTGGGGGCTGTATAGGTTTCAGGGTTAGCAGTGTTATTTTAGGCAGGAGGCTGTGTGCAGAGTGTGTGGTTGTTGAAGGCAGGGGGCTGTAGAGGCAGTGACAGGGCTGGCAGGAGGCCGTGTGCAGAGTGTGTGGTTGTTGAAGGCAGGGGGCTGTAGAGGCAGTGACAGGGCTGGCAGTGCAATGTTAGCGCAGAATGTGTGGCTGGTGTTGGCAGGAGCTTGTGTACTAGTGAGCAAGGTATGTGGATGGTGTAGGCAGGAGGCTGTAGAGGTAATGACAGAGCTAGCAGTGTGATGTTAGCGCAGTGTACATGTATATGGCTGGCGTGGGCAGGGTGTTATGAGCAAGGTGTGTGGATGGTGTAGGCAGGAGGCTGTGGAGACATATTTTAGGTGACACCGTGGTATTTGAGGAGATACTTGTTCTCGTGTCAGCACTTCGACATCATTTCCGAGCGCTTGCTGAGACGGGATGGTGACCCCAGCATGTTCAGGATGTGGTATTTTTCTCTGGTACAGAGGGAACACCGCTTTGTGATGTTAGAGTACGCTCGGGCGCGATCTTTTATCCTCCATTGAACTTCGTACTGGGCGTTAGATTTCTTAAGGTTCCAGATGTAGTTGGAGAATTCAGTGCTGCTGGAGTACTTTTCGTATCTGGTTGTTGTCATGTGGTTGGCATGGCGTGACTTGAACGGTGGCGCCGACATCCCGGTGTATTCTTTCTTGGTGGGGCCTGACGTTATGAATGCTATAATAATAGATCAGCTCTGTGGTTTTGCATTCACCGTTGAGTGGACAAGATGGCTTGTCTCTGCAGTTGCAGGGCTTTTCCGTTTTTTTCGTTGGAGGGTGGAGAACCGCTTTGTTGTGGCTTTTGATGCGTGCAGCCATATTTTGGCATGCAACTGTGGCTGATTTCGATGGTGTTTTTTTTGTAAATATTTTTCCAAGCTTCGACTGTGGGGGAAATACTTCTTGATGAGGGCAAGGAATCTTCCACCGATGTTGGTTTTCACGTTACGGCTGTAGGGCGGGTTGTACCGTATCACGTTCCTCTTCCTTTTCTTCTTTTCGTTCGTTTTCTGTTTGAACGCTAGCGTGCTAGGGTGGCCGCTGGCGTTGAGGGCCTCGTGTATATGGGGATAGCGTCATGGAACACCGCTTCTGAGCAGGACATGCTTGCCAGTCGGTCGTACAGTGGGGTGTCGTTGGGTTTTCGGTACGCTTGGTAGGTTCCCGTGGACAGGCTATGTATTGTCATGTGACTAAATGTGTGCAGAAAATGATCATGTCATGTGGGCAGTGGACTGAGTGGAGCCAATATGGCCGACATCATGTGACCCGTAACCGCAGGGGTTGACTAGAGTTGAAACCAACCTGGCTGTCCAGTGTACAAGTAGTAGTGTGATAGATGTAAGACCACTCTATACTGGTAATAAGTCGACCTCTCACGACCTAAAAACTGAACTAAACAAGAGAAGTCGGCGACTTTAAAGCAGTACTTACAACTGAACGGAGTCGACTTGTACCCTGGTCGACTTGCCACCCTGGTTGACTTGTAACCCTGGTCGACGACTTGTAACCCTGGTTGACTTGCAACCCTGGTCGACTTGCAACCCTGGTCGACGACTTGTAACCGGGGTTGACTTGCAACCCTGGTCGACTTGTAACCCTGGTTGACTTGCAACCCTGGTCGACTTGTAGCCCTGTGTTGTGAAAGAAGGATCCACGAGCGGGATTCGAACCCAGCACCCCTGTCAGTGCCCTACCGATTAGGCTACCGGGGAGCATGCACGCCCGTGGGTCCTTCTTGCTACACTGCTCCCCGCCCCGACAGGTTGTGTTGTTACGCCGTATTGAAATTATGAAAATCACCATGGTTACAGGTAGGGGTGTGCATGGGTATTCGGGTACCCGTGCTACCCGTGAGGAGCTCGGGTAGTCGGGTACAGAATAGTACCCGAAAACCCGAAGTCGCAGATGACATCATTATGACAAGTACAGTGCACGTGTACAAATTCTCTTCATGTCCACCCCCAGTGTGTAAGGGGAGGGTGCATTGTGGTGTTATCATGGAAACATTACCCGATCGGTTACCCGTGCTACCCGTGGAAAACTACCCGAACCCGATACCTGAAGAAAATGCTACCCGACTCAGCACTAGTTACAAGGACAACACAAGTCTGGCTACATCCCTAATTGATGTAACTGTTATCATGAAGCGAATGCTTGACAGTTGCAGTTTGCTTTCTACTAGGCGTGAAACGAATTTTAAAACGTTCGACTAGTTTCGTTCCAAATTGGAGTTGAAGAGAATTTTATTCGCTACTTCAAGGTGTCGAACGTTCGTCGATGCATGTGTAAGTACATGCAGTCCCATGCTTGTACTGAAAAGTAGGGGTGAAACGGTTACCCACTAAGGTTACAAAGGGGTAGCTGGCTTAACGGGCGGGTTGTCGGGTACCCTTTAGCAGCCAGTACCCAATAGTAAGTTACTCTACAATAGTCTTCCACATTTCGTACCAGGAGGACATGCGATGTCATGCAATCCACAGCAAGTGCACAACATCATGACAAGCGCAGCATGCGCACTTACTTCGCTACATGCAAAACAGTCCAAATTGTCATATGTAGCAGGATCGAACCAGCAACAGCACATTCAAACTGTACATCGAACTGTATGACGTATGTAATCAAGCATGCTCAGGAGGTCATGATGGCTGAATCTTGCCCGAGCCTGCAGCCCAAGGGCCGTAGGCCCGAGGGCTGCAGGCAAGGGCAAGATTCAGCCATCATGACAGACAGAGCGTGCTTGATTTGATTTCTTACAGCGCGAAGCAACATATTAGGGAAGGTCAAAGGTCGAAAATTATTCCCGAAATGACGTCACACGGTCCTGACATTCCCGAAATGACGTCAAACGGTCCTGAAATTTCCGAAGTGACGTCAAACGGTCCTGATGGCCTGATTATGCCCGCGGCGGGAAGACCGCCTATTGGCCATGGCCCGGGCAACGGTCACGTGCTATGTAAGAAAGTCCAACCCAGCTAATAATACCGTACCATACCATCGTACACGACTAACGGGTACGCGTTTGCTAACGGATCAGCAGCTAAACAGACGGGTACCCAGGTAGCCGGGTCACCCCTTTCACCCCTACATGAAAATAACAATGTGCATGTTGTATATCGTGCAGAGCTCAGCCAGCCACCCTTAGCCCCAGGTCCCCATTACAGGTAACAACAGTGTTCAAAAAAAAGAAAGTGATTGCCGATTGCCCAAATCTTGGTTGTTTTACGAATGTGATGGGGTGCTTGTGTGGACATTTTGTAGGGGCTATATTTGGTAAGAATAGTTCGTGAGTTCGTCAAACGAAGCGTACAATTCGCCAGAATGTTTCGTTTGCCTCTTTTGGGGTTCGTTTCAGAATGTTTCGTTTGCCTCTATTGGGGTTCGTTTCAGGCCTTGGTCACTTTCTACTAAGGATCACGGTCACGCTATGTTTCTCCTTCTCCAGCCGTAACTACGGTCACGCTATGTTTCTCCTTCTCCAGCGGTAACTATTCAACATATGCATCATGATTTATAAAAATGTGTGCGTATATGTATGTGCACGTGTGAATTTGTTGTGTGTATGTGTGTGTGCACGCGCATGTGCTCACATTTGTATTGATGTAGGAGGTGTAAGGAATGGATCATCGAGGGAGGTGTAAGGAATGGATCATCGAGGGAGGTGTAAGGAATGGATCATCGAGGGAGGTGTAAGAAATGGATCATCGAGGGAGGTGTAAGGAATGGATCATCGAGGAGACACTTGAATTACTGTAACGGTGTCTGGTTGACACTCCAAGCTGAGAAGTCATTGTGCGGCTCATCTCCAGAGCAACATTGTCCTCCTATACCGCTTTCCTCTACTGACAAGACTACTTCAGGTACATCAAGAAAAGCAATGGAAGCAGCAGCAGCAGCCATAGGGCAGGCGCGTAGCCCGCATGGGGCACGGGGGCACGTGCACCCCCCCCCCCCCCAAAGGGTTTGACCTAGGTTCATAATGACCATGAATTACACTCACCAGCCATCCAACACATATGCGGTGGCCGTGCACCCCCTAAACGGGGGACTCCCCCCCCCCCCCAACCCCTGTAGGAGTGCTGTTCTGAATAGAAGCCTGATTTTTACGATACACTGATGTCATAAAAGCCTAGTTTTATTGTTGACATACATAGGAAATTAATATCTGATTAGAATAGAAGCCGCCGGCCTCTACCGGAATAAGCCCGACTATAATATTATTATGCGACATCACGGTCGTTTTATATACTGAATCTACACATCATGCCACCATTGCTGGCAAGTAAGTTCCATTTCCCAGGCAATAACATTCTGCTAAGGTTACCGTACTCGCGTGATTAGAGCTCTCTCTCTCGAATAGCGCCCCAGTCTCCAAGAACCAGTGAAAAAATAAAGCCCTCTCTTGAATAGTGCCCCTCCCCCCCCCCCCCCCCGTCGCGCTTGTAACCAAACGCATGTCCAAGTTTGGTGTTCTTTTGCTAAATTGCACTGGTGGTTTCAGGATCAAAATCGCAGTTCTTGTTGCCATTTCTGTCAAGTTGTGATAGTTTACAGTACACTTTAGGCTGGATGACGTAAATGTACCAGCATTGAAAAAATAGTGCCCTCTCTTGAATAGTGCCCCATCTGTGATGGACATTGAAAAAATAGTGCCCCAGGGGCACTAATCGCGCGAGTACGGTATGTGTGTATTATTATATCGCACTTCAACAGTCTGTCATGATTTCTGTAGTGCGAAGTCCATATTGATTGGAATTTACTCTAGATGAGTGTTGCTGATAACAATGCAGATATGATTATTGTATGAACAACACCTGCTGAATATACTGTTCATGATGTAAGCTGGATGTCTGGCTTCAGGCACGGAGTATTCCCCTTACTTGAGATGCTGGTGTTCTGTGCATGCCTGCATGTACGTGTGTAGTTGTATGCATTTCAATTTCTTGCAAACTTGCTTGGCATGAAGTAGTACATTTGTCGGGAGTAGGTACTAGTAGTAGTACGACTTTACTCAGATACAATGTACAACATACTTTGAATCCTAGCCTCTGACTTGACCCACTTCAGTCGTTGCTTGTGCTTGTAGGCTGTAGAATGGGCTGTAGCTTGGCTGAAGCAAGGTCAAGGAATCCGAAAATGCTGAAAACTTTTGAAAAGGTGCCAAATATGGAACATTTTTAAGAGAAAAGGCCAAATATGGCCTGAATTTCTGCGGTTGCCATGGCAACAAGCCCATTTTTGGCCTAAAATTGGCCGTTGCCATGGCAACTGTACAAAATTGTGAACTGTGGTGGCTTCCTACTGCTACAGCCGCTTGCCAGCCCCCCCCCCCCCCCTGCTGCTGCTACAGCCGCTTGCCGGCCCCCCTGCTGCTGCTACAGCCGCTTGCCAGCCCCCCCCCCCCCGCGCTGCTACAGCTGCTGCTGGATCCTGCAGGTACCAGCTAGGCCGGGTGCTTGGCGACTGCTATAAAAACCAGTTGGTTGCTAGGCTTCACATGGCAGGTTTCAGAATATATGACAGAATTGTGTAAAAATTGTGAATAAAATTATATTTTTCAAGGCTTAGAAAATTAAAAGATGCAGCAGAAAATTAATGTAGTAGAACAAAGAAGATATTTTGTAAAAAGAATAGAGCAGTACTGATCAGGCTAAAATAGACTGAGCAGAAATCTTGGAAAATACATTCCAGCAATACCATGTAGCATGTACTATGTAGGAAAGGAAAGTTCTTCAAGCTATGAGGTCGTTGACTAAATAATTATACATAAAAAAAAGAGAAAGAAATGACAATTCAGTAAGGAGATAATGAGTAGGTAAAGTCAGCCTATACACATTACTGAGAGTAAGAGATGAGTCATACCGACAAATAGACACTTTGATAGTAAAATAATCCACCGTTACGTTACACAGTATAATCATATTTATAGAAAAATCGCAATACACTGCTCAATAAGAGGACAGGTACTTTGAATCGCAATACACTGCTCAATAAGAGGACAGGTACTTTGAATAGCAATACACTGCTCAATAAGAGGACAGGTACTTTGAATAGCAATACACTGCTCAATAAGAGGACAGGTACTTTGAATCGCAATACACTGCTCAATAAGAGGACAGGTACTTTGAATAGCAATACACTGCTCAATAAGAGGACAGGTACTTTGAATAGCAATACACTGCTCAATAAGAGGACAGGTACTTTGAATAGCAATACACTGCTCAATAAGAGGACAGGTACTTTGAATCGCAATACACTGCTCAATAAGAGGACAGGTACTTTGAATAGCAATACACTGCTCAATAAGAGGACAGGTACTTTGAATAGCAATACACTGCTCAATAAGAGGACAGGTACTTTGAATAGCAATACACTGCTCAATAAGAGGACAGGTACTTTGAATCGCAATACACTGCTCAATAAGAGGACAGGTACTTTGAATCGCACACCTACTACCTCTACTACCAGTGTTAGAACATTACAATACAATACAGCAGAGTATATAGTGTGAGTGTGGAGACTGGAAGTCATACACACAATGCACCATTGTCTATGTGAGCATGTGTGCCAAGCATATTTTGTGGCCAGCGCCAGCTACACTGACACACTACATCTGTTGGAAGTCTCACTGCTGGTTGAAATCAGGAATTCACTGCAATGCCACCACTCCTTATCACCCACGATATCGCTTGGCTGATCCAGCAAAATACCAACAGCCCGCACCGAGTCAGTCTTTGCTCCTTTCTTCCAATTCTCAACACGGAGGCTGCCTAGTTGGAAGGTAGCCCACCGTATGTCAGCTGACGGGGATGGGCATCCAAGATGCACTACATAGTGAATACAGAATTCATTAGCTGCTTCCTGAAGAAGTGAGATGTTGCGACTTGGGCGGAAATTGTAGAACAAGGTGGCTACTCCTGACGTCTTCAGGCATAATCTTCCTCAGCCTACTCAAGCCCAGCTGATAAGGGGTGAATTCCCCGCCTGAAACTCTGTGTATTGAGCAGGGAAGGGTGCGTTCTTGCAGGTTTGCCAAGTGGACGGACCTGCATTCTTCTCGTGTGCTCCAGACAGCAGTCGCGAGTCAGTCAAGGGTCAGTCAGTCGGCAGGAAGCGCAAGCTCCAACGTTTGGAGCAGCCACCGGCTTCCTGAAGATCACCCCAGATGTGCCATCACCTATACATGCAAAAACATAATGCCCAAGGCCACACACACACACACACACACACACATACACACACACACACACACACACACACACACACACGCACGCACACACACACACGCACGCACACACACACACGCGCGCGCGCACACACACACAAGTTGGGACACAACACGTGTACGCACGCACGCATGCACAAACAGAACATGTACATGTACGGTCAACTTGGCTATTAACGACTGCGGATATAACGACAATTCTCGAATAACGACAGAATTTCCATGCCCAGAGCAAAGTCCCATCCCACTGTAATACATAAAATGAGACTTCGGGTATAACGACACTTTGCGAATAACGACACCTTATTGATGCCCCGCCGAGTGTCGTTATAAGCAAAGTTGACTGTACATGTAATCAGTTGAAGGAGCTATACACTAGTTGGAGTACGATGCATGATGCATGATGCATGATGGCGTGTGTAGATGAATTATAACATTGAATACTACACTTACTACTTGACCACCTGAACATAGCCACAAAGTTGACAAACGCAAAGACCGGCCAACACACAAACACAGACCAATTTAAACTGAAGACAAAACTGTCTAAATAGGAGAACAAAAGGGGAATTAAAGGGGAAGTTAAGCCTAAAATCAAATTTTCACCAGCTGTAGTCTTCGTGGTGGTGAGTCGAATGGTATTGGTCCGAGAAAACTGAGACGCTCCCTTCCTCCTTTAATCCCAATCGAACTCGTGCACTTCTACTGCGCCCTACTAACGTTAGATGGGATTTGTATGCAAAATGTCACCAAAAGCGCCATTTAGTTCTTATAAAAGCATGGATGACCGCGATTGGCCCATATCTTGTAGTCTTTTGGACGACTGGTTTTAGTCCGAAAAGCGATGCAGCGTTCGGGCCTCTTTCCCAATCGAACATAGTTGAACAAGTGGTCACGTGCTGCTGCGTACACCAGTCACCTGGTCACCGAGCCAGCAGGCGACAACTTTCACACCAAGGTTCAACTCGAGTTCAACTGGAGTGACAGGAATGTACCCAAACAGGCTGTAAGTTGTACCCTGCAGGCATGGTGACCAGGTGACTGGTGTACGCACGAGCACGTGACCGCTTGTTCAACCGGGTTCGATTGTTAATAAGGCCCGAACGCTGCATCGCAGTCTTTTCGGACCAAAACCAGATGACTCAGCGTCCAAAAGACTACAACATATGGGCCAATTGCGGTCATCCGTGCTTTTGTAAGAACGAAATGGCGCTTTTAATGACATTTTGCATACAAATCCCCATCTAGTAGGGCGCAATCACCCAGTTTCGGTGGAAGAGCGCGAGTTCGATTGGCAATAGAGGAGGAAGGGAGCGTCTCAGCTTCCTCGGACCAAGTCCATTCAACTCAGCACCCCGGAGACTACAACTGGTGAACTGTTGATTTTAGGCCTAAAGGGGAAGAAGTTAAGCCTAAAATCAAAATTTCACCAGTTGTAGTCTTCTGGGTGCTGGGTCGAATGGTCGTAGTCCGAGGAAGCTGAGACGCCCCCTTCCTACTTTAATCCCAATTGATCTCGCGCACTTCCACCGAAACTGGGTGACTGCGCCCTACTAGATGGGGATTTGTATGCAAAATGTCACTAAAAGCGCCATTTCATTCTTATAAAAGCACGGATGACCGCAATTGGCCCATATGTTGTAGTCTTTTGGACGCTGAGTCGACTGGTTTTGGTCCGAGAAAGCTGCGATGCAGCGTTCCTCCTTTATTCCCAATCGAAGATGGTTGGACAAGCGGTCATGTGCTCCTGCATGCCCAAGTCACCTGGTCACAGCGCTAGCAGGCGACAACTTTCACACCAAGCTTCAACTCGAGTTCAACTCGAGTGACAGGACTGCACCCCAAACAGGTCAAACAGGCTGTAAGTTGTACCCTGCAGGCAAGGTGACCAGGTGACTGGTGTACGCAGGAGCACGTGACCGCTTGTTCAAGCATGTTCGATTGGGAATAAGGGCCGAATGCTGCATCACAGCCTTTTCGGACCAAAACCAGTCGACTCAGCGTCCAAAAGACTAAAACATATGGGCCAATCGCGGTCATCCGTGCTTTTATAAGAACGACATGGCGCTTTTAGTGACATTTTGCATACAAATCCCCATCTAGTAGGGCGCAGTCACCCTTCACCCTTCCTCGGACCAAGACCATTCGACTCAGCACCCCGAAGACTACAACTGGTGAAATTTTGATTTTAGGCTTAACTTCCCCTTCAAGCCTAAAACGGCATTCAGCACATAACAATTAGAACTGAGAGAACTAGTATAATACAAGAGAACAAGCAATAACTTACTGTTCGCAGGATGCCTGGAATACTGCCTCTCAGATGATGCAAGCTCACCAAGAGTGTGACAGGAACCATCCTGAATGTTCAGCATCTCGGCAGAAGCAACAGCAGTGGTTGCGTCCGCAGAAGCAAGTGTGATGCCTCGGAACACATTGCCGATGATGTCAGTCTTTGTACGTGCAGTTGGTCAAAAGTCAGAATCAGCATAAGACGTTGCAATGCAAACAATAACATAGTGAATAGAAAAACAGAGAAGAAAAGCCAAGGTTACAATATTTCTAAAGGCCTCGTTTGAAACCTGCTGATGTAACTGTGAATAGTGACGTACCTCTAATCCCTTCATCATCATGAACAGCATGTTCTCAACATGGTATAAACACATGCTAGCTTGCAAAGACACTGATCTGTTCTCAGGTAATTATCAACTTTATATCAGAAAGCAGCTAACCACTTTGCAGTGCCAGTGGATGCAAACGTTCACTTGGTTATTTATAGCAGTCTTTTGACCATTTGCAATGGCCGCTGTCTATTATGTACGGTGCTGTGCACCTGTAAGCTGATGTACTGTCGTGGACATGGAAATTCGGTCGAATAACCGGGTCCGGCACCCTCAGTGCGTACAGAACGTTGTCTGCACAGTGCACATGTTCATCACATGCGTACTCACGGCTGCATGGCCAGCGCTCTGGGACCGCTTGACCTCCGACTGGATTTACCATGTCCATGACAGTAAATCATGTACTGTGCTATGCATGTGTGCGTCTATGTATATCATGTACTGTGCTGTGCATGTGTCAGTCTATGTATATCATGTACTGTGCTGTGCATGTGTCAGTCTATGTATATCATGTACTGTGCTGTGCATGTGTCAGTCTATGTATATCATGTACTGTACTGTGCATGTCTAACTAACCCTCTATAGTGATATCACTGCTAAAGACTCTCTGTACTTCTATCTCATAACCAAGTAAACGTTAATAGCATCACATTTGGTGCTCATGTAGCTGCTGCTGCGATTATTTTATCTACCAAATGCCAACTTTATGCACTCCCAGTGTGCGTGACAAGAAGCCAACATAGCCACGGCAGTGATTACAACATACTAATGATGCTACTATTTGATGCTACTATTTGCATCATTTCATTTGTACACACACACAGCATACATGTACAGAAACTGTCGGGTCATCCCCGGGAATATAGAGCAGAAACAATCATTTTTGTACCGTATCTGACAGGAGAATAGGAGCACAATCACATACAATCACATACAATCCAGAAAGACTTACAATTTTCACATAAGAGACACTACTCGTACTCTTCAGTCAGAACAATGGCAGGTGACACCTCCACCAGAACAATGGCAGGTGACACCTCCACGCACAACAGTCCAGTAGAGGGAGCAGCACTTGTCTGCAGACTGCAGCTCAAAGCATCTCTCTCTCTGCAGACTGCTCATGCTCAAAGCATCTTGCTCTTTAATAGAGCTGAAGAAAACTGAGAGAAACAGCAAACAGAAAACAGTAAATGGCAAAAATAGAATATCAAACAAAGACTGTTCACTTACTAATCACACACAGACACACACACAAACGCACACACACACACCCACCTCAGACCGCAGACCTGCCCATCGCGGAAGGGATGATGGCGAACAGCTATGTTAGACATAGCAACTTGTGCACACACACACACACACACACACACACACACACACACACACAGACGCACACATGCACATATGTGTACGCACACACAAACATGCACGCTAGGCCCAGACAGATTCTGCTCCGTTTGCCTCGATATTTTGCTTCAAAATGTTGCTGCGAAATCTTCGATATGTTGCCGAGCCTGGCACTAGAAACTCGATATTTTGCTCCATTTTGCTCCGGAAAAACGTGTAATAGCGCTTTTAGTGACATTTTGCATACAAATCCCCATCTAGTAGGGCGCAGTCACCCAGTTTCGGTGGAAGAGCGCGAGTTCGATTGGGATTCACGTAGGAAGGGAGCGTCTCAGACTACAACTGGTGAAATTTTAATTTTTGCCTTAACTTCACCTTTCAATAATAGACGAGGAGACAATAGTTGTAAAATGGCAATAAATAAGATCAATGGTGCACTCATAACAGCAAAAACTGAAAAAAGTTTAGTTCAGATGGAGAGCCAAGGATAAATTAATAGAAAAGAAAAAGGATCAAGGAACTTCAAGTTACGCTATAATGTCCACTAACGCCACCAGTTACTAAACAATCAGCTCATGCGATAACATTGCACGACACTGACCGACGGCACTGGTGGTCAGTGTCGTGCAATGTTATCGCATGAGCTGATTGTTTAGTAACTGGTGGTGTCAGTGGACATCATAGCGTAACTTGCACTTCCTTGGTCCGTTTTCTTTTCCATAAAGGTTAGTCCCTAAAACATTTTCTCGTAACTTTCATCAGTGGAATGCCGTCACATAAAAATGTAATAACTAAAACACCCTTACATAGCTAATATGGTTTTAGGTAGAAATACAGCAGCCAGCAGGTACAAAAAGTGAAGTTTACACCAGCTTACTGTGTGTGAATATCGGGTATGTGAGAAAGGTAATGGGAGATGAATGTGATACTTTGTGGATGAACGTGATGGTGCGTGCGTATTACTTGAAGAGTGTGAGTGATTCATTTTCTTTCTGTTTACATAGCAAAAGGGTCACGAGTACGAATATACACAACTTCCAACACCTGCAATTCCTGGTTTAGTATTATTCGTTTCACACGTTTCTTCAAGCAACCTTCTGCTGCTTCTTCTCCGTGATGTGCTAGTTGCACCTTCTCTCTCTGCTCCCCCCCCCCCCCTTCTGCATACTAGGTGACATAATTCACATTTTTTTGGCGCTACACTCTGCGTATATATACTGCTCTTGTGTGGCTTCCACGGTATTCATTGTTATTACCTGACGATGGCCAAGTGCCGAAACGTAAAAAAAACGGAACTGGTTCGGATGTCATGTGCAGCGCTATGGGAATGGGTATGTCCACCCTAATTCCTTTCAATTATAAGTGTGTTTTAGTTTTTACATTTTTATGTGACGGCGTTCCACTGATGAAAGTCACGAGAAAACGATATGGAACTTAATCATTTTTGCTGTTGTTATAAATGCAAAAGCTGGAATCAGCCTTGAGGGAGATCAGAGCATCGATTCCGCCCAGGCCAATGCGCGACATGGCTCTACCACCAGAAGTGATTTATGCCGATGACACTGATTTCATCAGCCAATCCAGACCCTGGCTGGAGAGCATCGAACCGTATATCATCGCTATCCTTGGAGACTGGCACCTAAAGGTCAACGAAGATAAAACAGAAAAAAACAACATTGCGCCGGGAAGGAGACCGCCTGGCTGAAGTATGGCGGAAAACAAAAAAACTCGGATCACTCCTCGGCGACGAGGAAGATGTTGCACAAAGGAAACAATTAGCAACGGCAGCCTTCAGAGCGCTATTCATGGTATGGTGTCGTCGATCGATCATCAGCGAAAGTCTACGGCTAAAGCTTTACAACGCGTTTATCATCCCTGTGCTAACGTACAATGGAGGCACCTGGGGACTGACGGCTTCAGCATGGGAGCGTCTGGACACATTCCATCGAAGACAACTTCGGAGTCTCCTGGGTATCCGCTGGCCGCAGGTGATTCCAAACAAAGCCCTGTACGGCAGATGCCACGCAGAGCCCATCAGTGCCCTCATGCGGCGATCCAGATGGGGCCTGTTTGGGCATATCCTCAGACTCCCTCAAGACACGCCTGCCGCCGTCGCTATGCGGAGTTACTTCACCTGTAGGGACAAGGTATGGCGAGAGCGGCCACGGACAACCATCGTGTCCACACTATCCGCGGACCTAGAATCGGTAACCTCCCGCGACAGCGCGTCCATGTTAGCGCGGTGCACTTCAGCGCGACCGCCTTAGCGCGAGGCATTTCAGCTCGGTGCCATTTCAGCGCCGTGTCTTGACAGCGCCAATGATTTCAGCGCGAAATTTTTAAGCGCAGGACATGTCAGCGCCAATTTCTTCAGCGCAGATTTTTTCCGCGGGAGGCACTTCAGCGCCGTACATGTTAATGTACGTACGGGCACCAATTAGCCGGCATCATGCAGGAACTTTACAGTGCTGGTAACCTACAGGACTGCTGTCGTCAACTGATGGCATTGCCATTCCTGCCATAAGACCAGGTTACAGCCGCCTTCGATTGGTTGGATTGAGAATGCTAACGTTCCGATGTCGCTGTGGTGCTGCCATGGAAGGGACGTCAGCACCAACAACAGTGTTGAGGGATGGCACCATCGATGTAGCCGAAAGATGAACATCACCCACCCCAACGTATGGGTGCTGTTGGAGCAACTGAAGATGGAGGCTTCGCGTACGGAGCTTATTTATTTATTTATTTCTGCACCTCGTGGCATGTCAAGACAGCCAATTGAATTGAGGAGAGGGTGAGACCAACCACGGATTATTGCCAGCCAGATGCAAGCTGGCCAGCGCATCTCAGTCGGGAAAGCTTCATACACTCGACTTAACGATCGAGTTCGCGTCCTGGAAATCAGACGTGCAAATGGAGAAATTACTAATTTTGAATTTTTTTCGAATGTTTGTCGACTTCATCATTTCTAATCTACGGATTCTCTTGTCATATTGCTATATGCCAACTAAATAATTCAAACTATGTGAAAACAAGTTTGTCAAAGAATCACCAAATCACCAAATTCCGCTAGCGAGAGTGCAGACAAGACCACTAATTCCGTGCGTACGATAATGCGCAAGATACTGCGTACTATAGTACACGTGAAAGTGCTTCGCGCTGACATATATGCGCTGAAGTGCCTGGCGCTGACGTTACCTCGCGCTGACAGTACATCGCGCTGAAGTGCCTTGCGCTGACATTACCTCGCGCTGAAGTGCCTCGCGCTGACACCACCTCGCGCTGAAATGCCTTGCGCTGAAGTGGTCGCACTGAAATGCCTCGCGCTGTAGTGGACGCGCTGTCGCGGGATGGAATCCAAGAATCAGCAGGACTTAGGAGTCTGAGGAACTTGGCAGACCTGGAGCACCTGCCGGCCATCGCCGCTGACAGGCCTGCGTGGCGCGAGCTGTGCCAGGATCTGTCCCCGGGGAAAATTGCGATTCCGCGGCCGCGTTTTTTTCCGCGTTTTTTTTTAAAAGACCGTGTTTTCCGCGATTTTCCCGCGTTTTTTGAACTTTTCTGTTGCGCTACACGTACACACAGTGCACTGTTCGGTCAGCAAGGTCTCATCCGGTGGCGGCTTTGTAGTTTGTACTCATTATGACGAGCGCTTACACCAGAGACTTGTAACTGATTGATTTCACTACATACTCACTGAAAATTGCCTCATATCAACTGTAAACTTGCCGCCGCGAGATGATATCAATAATATTCACCGCATATTTACCGCATATTTACCGCAAATTCACCGCAAATTATGCCATATTATGCCGCGTTTTTTGCCGCAATTTTCCCCGGGGACAGCAGGATGTACGCAGTAACTAACGGATGGGACAGAGGCATTGTACAGATCCCGTGCATTTAGCACTTACCATCGACCATGAGTTACAAACCTATCGTCGTTGTCTGTTATTCTTGTTTTATTTTTTTATCTTTCGAATAGATCCCGTGCATTGAGCACCTATCATCGAACATGAGTTATGTGCCTATCGCCTGCTGTCTTACATTTATTTTTTACTTTTATTTATTTTTGTTTTCCTCTCTGCCCACTCTGCCTGTCTTCTGGCACATGCGAATACGTGGACTTACTGTTGACGTAAACGCGGACGTGCGTATAATAATAATAATATAAATGCACAATTTATCTTATTTACTGCCATTTTAGACTAGAGCTGCGTAAATATATAATGTTCTCCCTTGCTAACTATGATGGTTGAGATAAGTTTCCATGATGATTGTCTCATGAAAACCGATAAAGAAATTTCTAGGTCTTGTTCCTGAAACTGATGGATAGTTGATGGACACCTTCCCTGTGACCAGTGCCCTGCTCTCATCTTCTCGAACTGCTTCCTATCATGCCCCGGCTACCCTGCACCAAACTATATCTAGTGTTATTCTGCACCCCCCCCCCCCCCTCTCTCTCTCTTATACAGCCAAACTCTGCTCAAATTCTTTCCATCCCTCCTTCTCAAAAACACCCACCTTTGTCGTATCCTTTATCTTGTGTTCTTCATTTCTAACGTCTTCTTTAATGGTGTGTATGTTCTGCGCAATCTGAGAAGAATTCCAGATTGCGCAAGCATTCTTGTGAATTCTGGGGACGCCAAAATATTTGCTGCACGAGACCAGGCATGGTAAAACCGCGTGCCTGAGCTTCTGCGAGATTTCTGGGAGCACGCCAAAGTAAATGTATGTGTGGTGCAAAATTCCAGTGTGTGGTTCGTGCAATCTGTGGATTTCTCTCAAAACCTGAAGAGCATAGCGAGTTTATGTGGGGCGCAGTCTATGGGTGCAATCTGTGGATTTCGTTGAAAATCATGAAGAGCACAGCGAATCCATGTGGGGGCAATCTGTTACCCGATTTCACTGAAAAACAAAAATGAGGAGCACAGCGAATCCATGTGGGACGCAATCTTTGGGCGTAATCTGTGGATTATGTCATTAAGAAAATAACATAAAGAGCACAGCGAATCCATGTGGGGCGCAATCTGTAATTTTCCCTGAAAGAGCATGAAGACCACAGGGAATCCATGTGGGGGGGGGGGGGCAATCTGTGGCCCGATTTGCAGATTGTATGCCTGTGTATTAGGGCAATTTTCACATTGCGCAGATACATGCTTGCGCATTCTCGGAATTTTCAGACTGCGCAGTGCAATCTGAGGATTCCCAACAGGAGACAGGGCTGTGCAATCTGGGAATTTCATGATACACGAGGAGGATTTCCAATGCATGAAATGGCACAGGGCGAGGTTTTCGTGTCACTCCAGATTGCGTGCGCAATCTCCAGATTGCGCAGGCAATCTGTGCAATCCGGGAATTCTCAGATTGCACTAGTTCTCAGATTGTGCGGAACATGTACACTAGCGCGAATGCTGACACCCTATGGTCTGTGTTGCTAATTTGCTGCACCAGTACTGGTTTATGCAGCCCGTACTGCCCCCCCCCCGCTCAATTTTGATTTTAGCCGAAATCAGTTTACCAGCTCAATGTCTTCTTACCTGGGACCAAACAAGGAGCTGTCGTTTTACTGTGGTCTTGCACACAACTTGATACGCACGATCCCAAAGCCAGCAGCTTGGCAGAGAATCTTGCTAGGTCACCATTGCCACTCCGCTTCACCATTGCGCAACCTGCCTTCAGTGTGTCTGCACCTTGATAGCTTTACACCAGAGAATACAGGTCTGCATCTGCAGTGTTAGCTTTGTCAACACAGCAGCTGCTCAGCATCAGAACATTGTAGTGTTGAATTCCTTGCGCCGCAGTCTTTCAGTAATCAGCTATTATTCCAGGCTGTAGCTGACGCGGTGATATGAGACCAGCGCATGTCCAGAGTCGTTGTAATAGTACTACAAATGTTAATGTATCCTTTCTTGCCCAGACTCCGTGCAACAGTACTACTAATGTATCCCTTCCGGCACAGCTGATAAATGAATAATATCCTTCAGGCCCTGACCATCCTTTGCAAAGCTGATGATAGAGAAAAAGGCTTGGTAGCAGCGACTGAAGGCAACAAGACGCCGAACTACTTCCAGGTCTCGTAGCCAAGGCGAAGAGAGTCAATTGAAATATTCTGGCTGCTCCACGACTTGGTCCGCGGGAGTGGGAAAGTAAAACAAGCGCTCGTTAGTGACCACTAACAATTCTTTACCGAACAAGCTTTACTGTTACTGGTGTAATTGAAGATATCTTTCACGAATTTCAGCAACGCCGGTACTAACAGCAAGTAAGTTTGGAGCCCTCTCCGCTAAAGCAGTCTATGAACTGAAAAGCCTTTCAGGAACAAAAAGACAAGAGCAAGGACAGCAGGAAGCCGTTTCTGTATTCTGCAAATGTGGACCTTGAGAGAATTGTGTTCTCACAAATAACGGAGACGGGAGAGCGAGACAAGACGTTGAACTACCAGTACTTTGAAGTGAATAATTATTACAGTAAATATCGGATATAACGTGCCCCTTTGATTTTCGAAAATGTATCACTATATCCGGTGCATCACTATAGCCGATTTGCATGTTTGACCGACACATGGCACATGACTGCACATGAAATGATGCGTACACGCTGGAAAAAGCATGCTGAAAGTGCATGCATGCTCCGCGGACCATACCGGTGCATGACACAGAGCAGTGCATGGCAGTGCAGTACGAGTACAGACTGTACATGTACTAGAACTTCGATACATCATGTGGCATGGCTGCTTCTTCAGCGTGTTCTCCAAAAAAAGCCTGAGCTGGATCCGTGCTCACGTAGATCGTAGATCTACTCGGTGTCCAACGAGTTGCGTAGAGCCAGAAATAGACATGAGTGGCTGTGTACGTGAGTTGGCAACATCATCGTGAGAGGCAACACAGCCAGAAACGGACAAGAGCATGCAGAAAGATCACTCTTGATCATTATATGCGATATTTTCCTGTACATTTGATATGGTTTGCTTCCTGAAGGCCATCACAATAAGCGATATATCGGTATAGCCGATAATAGTGTATATAGTGATATTTTAGCTGTATTTTTTCAGATTTGATTTTGATTTTGACGTGTTCTATCACTATAACCGGTATATCATTATATCCGGTCACTTTATAAACGATACTTACTGTATTACAGCTAGCAGCTACTTTTGACTGCACTGGGCCATGTTTAAAAAAAATTATTATTATTGTTTGCACTCTATTAATTTTATTTTCCATTTTTTTAGTTTAGTGTAGGCAGTGCATGCAGTTTGTAGCTATCGTACTCTAGCACAGTGCACGTAGATCTCTACGTGCAGATCTACTTGCCATGCATGCTCCGCGCTGATGGCCACACGTGTTTTATTTCTATGACTATGTTTCTCGTCACCTGGACCCTATCCCGGCCGAAAATCTAAAAATCGTATGCGAGAGATAGAGCTAGGGCCACACTTTGTTTTTTCTATGTTTCTCGTCACCGCGCGCGCGCGTAGGTTTTCAGAAATTTCGGAAGAAAAAAAAAGGTTCATACTTGGAGATCTAAATGTAGATCTACCGGTAATGCGGTATGTACGCTGCACAATACTGCAGCAGCTAAATGCGTCAATCAAAATAATTATCGTTAGCATGCACCACAGCAGCAAAGGAGCGCTCCCCGTCCGTTCTCTGCGATGAACTTCATGAAGGTTGTCCCAACGAAGCTTTCAGTCGTTCACTACTTGAGCCTCGCGGGTGCCAGAAATACCGTAAGTCGGACAAGTAATTAGTTCCGTGGCAACTGGCGTCTGTGGAGCGATGTCGTGGAGATCTTACGCGAGTAGAAAATCCGAACAATAGACCATGATAGACGCATGGCGAGGTAAAGACGAGCAGCGTGGAGACAAGAGTTTGATAAGCGGACACAAGAACGTTGAAGTAACGAAACAAAAAAATGATAAGTGGGAAAGCGTTTGTTGATGCGATATCTGATAAGCATCATTATAATTTATATTCTCTTCGCCATCTCGCAATCAAAATTTATACATGTACTCTCATTGTTGCAAATTTAATAATAATTTGCCTGATATTCGTGGGCTGATGTGACAAATAATTATGTAGTGCAATCATGTACTATGTCTATGGTCCGAATGGAGTATGGGACTACATGTACATGACTGTATACTGTAGTACTGCATACGCAGTGTCTTGTATTTATATTATGTATGATTTACATGTATTTTATAAGAAAGGGTTTGCTCCCCACATGTCACACCGGAGCTCGCGCTATTCCGCCGACTTCGAATTATTTTTTTTTTATTTTTATGAAACCACGTATAAAGTTTTCAGTAGAAGTATACTAGTACTGTACAGTGTAATGTAGTTGTTCTTGTTTTTTTTCCGCCCGCCCGCATACCTTTGCCGACGAGAAACACAGAAAAAAACTACATGTATGTACATGTACATGTATAATTATTATTATGTACATGTGTGAGGCAGAGGTGGAAAAAATAATAAATGTTTACTAGATCTGGTACAGTCGTCCCTCTCTAATCCGGCACTTTATAATCCAGCACCCTCGATAAACCAGCACAATTTTCAGTAGCCAAAATGTCCTCTTCATGCACATTGCAGCAGTAAATCAGATTTGTTAATCCAGCACCCTCCCTAATCCAGCAGATTTTCGTGGCACAAATGGTGCCGGATTATAGAGGGACCACTGTAGTACGTGTACGCGTACGGGAAACATAGAAATAAAAACGTGTGTGGCCTAAAAAATGCAGTCCATATCCGGATCCTAGGACATACATTGTAGATCCTTCGCTTGCACGTCAACCGGCATCTTCATCTTTTTTTCACGTAGCTGTACAATGTACTTGAAAAGAGAAAAAAATCTTCAGTAGATCTATCATCTAGACTACAGACTACAGTTGTCATGTAGAGCTACATAGTACATTGTCATCTAGACTACATGGATCAGCAAGCCTAGCCAGGGAGACCAGGGAGTCGTACAAACCCGGTTTATTCGACTCCCTGGTCGACTCCTCCTGTGACCAGTCCTATCCTAGCCTTCGTAGTGCGCGCTAGCGCTGTCACGCGCTGTACGTGTACATGTACGACGAGTGTTTGCAGTGGCGCAAGTGTTTTCCGTTCTTCTCTGGAACAACACAGCGTCGCTGAGCGAGCTGTTGTCAAATTCTAGCACAGTGAACGGTTTGGAGGCGTCGCATCCCAGAGTGGAAGCATATTTCACGGGCATAGAGAGTAGTTGCTCAGTCCGAATCGGTGACGTCGGACGTGTTCTGAAGTTTGTTCCCGGCTGATACCTGGATACAGGTGAAGGCAGGCGCGCGACCCATGATTATTATCAGAACTCTTCCAATCTGCTGCTGTGCTGGCGCAGATAGATGTAGCTAAGCTAGCTGGGAGATGAGAGCAGGAATTATTTTCGGGCTTCGCTATTGCTGTGTCCAGCTGTGGCTGCAGTAGCGACTTTGCTAGTCCTCAGTTTCTGCTATGCTTGCAATGCCCACACTGGGAAACTGATAAAATAATCTACTGCTGCTGCTGCTGCTGCTGCTGCCTGTCAACATGGATATAGGCGAGGCCATACGGGGTGTGCAAAGATCATCATCGGCTCCGCCAACGCACTTGCTGTTGAGTGCCGTCTGGCCCCGCCGCTGCTGCTCGTCACGACTAGTATCATCATCATCATCATCAAAGCCTGGTTACAGTGCGTCAATGCTGCTGTTTGTATTCATGTTGCTGATCGCACTACAATGTAATGGAGTGACATCGAGATCAGGTACTGCTACTTGTTAACTTGTATGGTTCTTATTGGTATGAAAATGGCTTGTCCAGTCGGCATAGGTAATTGTATCAAGAATATTTAATTTTCATTCACATTTCACCATGGGCTCAAGGTGCCCAATTACAGTGCGTTCTTTTCACAATCTACACCCAAGACACGGACTGTAAAACCGGAAAGGTTTGCGCCCGTTTTAGTTCGCGAATTGCGATGACAGACCAGTTTGCGCCTGCAAATGTTTGCGATTGGAGTTAGTCTTATGATTAACTCGAGTCTACAGTTTCACGTTCACACCCACTAACTTTCGCGATTTCACACCCATCGCGAAAATCGCAACCGTTTCAGGATCGCAAAGGTCTCTGGGTTTACAGTTACAGACGTCACACCAGCCCACACATCTAATATACTCTACACCGCTGCCGCCGCCATAGTACTCTACACATGGAACAGTGGCATCAACACATCCAGAACCGACTATCAGAGAGCTTCACAGCAGTGTTATCACATCTCATGGAACGGGGCCTCCTACTGAACCCTGACAAAATGCAACTATTAATTAATCGCGGGGTTCTAGGCAAAGGAGGGTAGGAGGGCGTAGCACCCCCCCCCCCCCCCGACTCTGATTGATTGCCCCCGCTCCTCTGTGAAAATGTGGAGCCCTCCTAGTCATTTGTCGATTTTTTTTCATGCCATTCAACGAAAGTGCAGTCGATAGTCCCCACTAGAGGGTTCATGAACTGGCACATTTGTGAGGGGTGAAGTCGGGGATTCACCCTGTATGTTACATTTTGGGAACATACAGGGAAATGGGTTTCGGGGTACAGTAACTGTTTCTTGTTTTGCCACCTCCTTTTCCTCGCGCCGCTTTGAAATGTTGTAGAGGAGACGGCTCGATACTGGGACGCTTTGACAGCCAAATTTGTATAGACCCAAACCGATCATCAGCGTTGATTTTTCACTCGAAATATGTTTGTGGAAGGAAACTGGCATGTTGAAGTTTGCTCTGGGGCCAGAGTCAATCGAACTGAGCCACTCCTTTGTGTTGACCCATTGCCTCCAAGTTGCCCAATTTTTCGCTTCAAAAAAGTTCAAATCAGAGGTGGCTCCAAACCGGACACGTTTTAGAGTGCACGTCAAATTCACTCTGGGTCTGAAATTAGGTAATTGCTATCGCTCCACGACGGCCAGTACAGAGTTACAATAAGCCTTGTGTGTGCTTCCATTAGTTTTGATTGGTATGCGGTGCTTTATTGGCGAGAGGCGAGCCGCTGTTTACCTGCGACAAGAAGTTGATTTTTCGAAAGTCGTAAAACTCAAGTCGCAGTGCGAAGCAACACGTCAAAAACTCACCTGCTTGATATGGCGCTTCTGGTCATCGCAGAGCCATGAAATTTTGGCTCGGAGTATAACACATCGTAGTCTCACTGTGACATATGTCTTCTAATCAAAATACCAAGAGAGAAAGTGAATATTGAGTCCGTTCCGGTTTGCAACCTGTGTCCTATTTGAAACCGTCCCCTCTACCTCCATCAGCTCTGCCCTCTTTTCTCAAGACCCTCCGTATATATTCTAGTGAATGCCCCCATGCCCCCCCCCCCCCCCCTACAGCTGAACAAATGAACGCATGCTCATTTCGACTGTGGGCTGCACTGCACCTGTCATACATTATGGTTTCAAGTGCTGTCATAAGCAAACATGATAGGAAACGTCTTGGAGAGCGCATCGAACCTTCTCTCTGACCGGTGCTACTGCTCAAAGGAGAAATGTTATTGCCCAAGTGGCGGGGAATTGTATTAGCTGCATTTTGACGGGGAATTGTATTAGCTGCATTTTGACGGGGAATTGTATTAGCTGCATTTTGACGGGGAATTGTATTAGCTGCATTTTGGCAGGGAATTGTATTAGCTGCATTTTGGCGGGGAATTGTATTAGCTGCATTTTGGCGGGGAATTGTATTAGCTGCATTTTGGCGGGGAATTGTATTAGCTGCATTTTGGCGGGGAATTGTATTAGCTGCATTTTGGCGGGGAATTGTATTAGCTGCATTTTGGCGGGGAATTGTATTAGCTGCATTTTGGCGGGGAATTGTATTAGCTGCATTTTGGCGGGGAATTGTATTGGCTGCATTTTGGCGGGGAATTGTATTAGCTGCATTTGGCGGGGAATTGTATTAGCTGCATTTTGGCGGGGAATTGTATTAGCTGCATTTTGGCGGGGAATTGTATTAGCTGCATTTTGGCGGGGAATTGTATTAGCTGCATTTTGACATACATAAGCAGTGTTCTAGCCGGGGGGGGGGGGGGGGGGGGTGTGGCGCAGCGCACCCCTACTCTGTTTGCGCGCCCCCTTGTGGAAAAGTGCCCCCCCCCCCCCCCTCTACTCATTTGTCGATTTTTTTGGTGCTTTTCATGCTATTGAACGAAAATTCAGTCGATAGCCACTACTGGAGGATCCAAAAAGGCACATGTCTGGAGTGAAGTTGGGGGTTCGCCCTGTATGTTGCATTTTGCATGGCAGGACAATTTTGGAAAATGGAAAAAATGGGTTACAGGGTAACTGTTTCCCATGCCCCCCCCCCCCCCCCCATACTATTTTGACCTGGCTAGAACCCTGATAATCATAGAATGGGGTCCATATATGGTTGCGCGGTGCAAATCTCTAACTTAAGACCACCTGCTACTAAAGACCGCTTTTTCTGGTCCCGAGTGGTGGCCGTTAGTTACAGGTTTTGCTGTATACAGTATGTATATTTTGTTGTTGTTGGTGGTGGTGATGGTGGTGGTGATGATGGTGATGGTGGTGGTGTTGGTGGTGGTGATGATGGTGATGGTGGTGGTGGTGGTGGTGGTGGTGGTGATGGTGGTGATGGTGGTGGTGATGGTGGTGGTGATGATGGTGATGGTGGTGGTGGCGCTGTTGTTGCTGTCGTTATTATTGTTTTACAGATTGTATTCTATTTGGATGTGATGCTGGCTGGCAATGCGATACATCCTGTGAGTGTCTCTAATACAATGCTACAGCCTACAATGCTATTACTACAATGCTATTAGTACATGTAGACATGAATGATGCTATTAGTACATGTAGACATGAATGATGCTATTAGTACATGTAGACATGAATGATGCTATTAGTACATGTAGACATGAATGATGCTATTAGTACATGTAGACATGAATGATGCTGTTAGTACATGTAGACATGAATGATGCTATTACTACATGTAGACATGAATGATGCGTACACTGTACAATACTGTATCTGACAATAGTCTACCGTTGTTGCCAACAGATGCTGCTAGGCCCGCAAGTACTAGATCTCATTTGCCACACCCAGCACAGCCTGTCCCACCGCCACTTCGTGTCACTGTGCTTTCAAACGAATACAGTCAACTTCGTTAATAACGACTGCGGATATAACGACAATTCGCGAATAGCGACAGAATTTCCATGCCCAGAGCGAAGTCCCATCTAACTGTAATACATAATTATAATGAGACTTCAGGTATAAGGACACTTCGCGAATAAGGACACTTTTCTGATGCCCCGCCGAGTGTCGTTATTCGCAAAGTTGACTGTACAGTGGAAGTGGGATAAGACATACCCCCTCCGGGGGGGGGGGGGGGGGGGGGGGGATACTTGGTATCCGAGGTGCTTCTTATCCAAGGTTGACTCATGTAGCCCCAACAGCCAACTTGGAAGGCTGTTGGTTTGCGCATTCTAGACGTGATGCAGCTAAGCATCAGGTTGTTGAATGTCAGTATCACATCAGTCAGTGTTGTGCTAAGTGTTGCACGTTCTGACTCACCGGTATCCTGCTTAAATTTGTTAGTGTTGGACACAAATAACGGATTAAACTTGTAAACTATTGGTCCTTCTCCTTTTATTTTAAAATCCTTGGCTCTCCATCCAAGTCTTACATACACAAGTTGTATGACTTACCTGAACACATTTGTATATGCGCTTATGGTAGGAACATCCGTGCGACGAAAAGGGACCGTACTAAGCAGTTATAGTTCAGGTTGATGTGGACTCAAATATTTTTTGCTCTTGCTTGCTTGTAACTGCTAGATCATCTCTCTGGTGACTGTGTGCAAGTATTCAATGATGATGACATTAACGGTAAGTCACCCTTTTCAAAAATGTATGTCTTTCAATGGCATGGTATTATAAGATCGATACCAAGTCCAAACTGCTAAAAATGACCTCTGCCATGGGTGACACTCTATCATCACCGACAATTTTGTCATGCAACGGTGGTTTGTCATGCAACGGTGGTTTGTCATGCAAAGGTGGTTTGTCATGCAACGGTGGTTTGTCATGCAAAGGTGGTTTGTCATGCAACGGTGGTTTGTCATGCAAAGGTGGTTTGTCATGCAACGGTGGTTTCACGTAGAAACTTATCTGTGCAGGGGCCTGGCCGACCATTTCACCATCATGTGCGGCGAACCGCCATGCTTTCCTGCACAAAGGTTGCAGATCAACCTGCTGTAACCGACATCTAGCTAGGCTCAGTGAGATGTCACACCAGCTTGCATGCCTGGTGCGACACAGCCGTGCGTGACCAACAAGGGTGTGCAGTTCACTGGCTTTAAACCTACATCAGTACATGTCCTCATGCCATGTCCTCATGCCATGTCCTCATGCCATGTCCTCATGCCATGTCCTCATGCCATGTCCTCATGCCATGTCCTCATGCCATGTCTCATGTCTCGAAACCACCTGGGAATAATATATTTACTGTTTTATGAATGCATGAATCAGGAAAAGCTGCACAATACATTCCATACTGCCTTCTCTAAAACACACACAGTACGCCGATGAAACTACTCTAAACAGAGCCAGTGTGACAATGATGCTTAGGCTCTTGTTGCTGAGTGTCAACCTATATTCAACGTAAACTACCTCAAACTGCTAATGCAGAATACTAAGTACAAGTATCCTGATGTTTAAAGGGTCAGCAACGATTGTAGCAATGATTGTACTCAAGTAAATCAATCAAACTCCTTGGTCTTCTATTGGGCTCCACTGGCTCCGTCGAAGAAATAGAGAGGACAATTTGGTGAGCATGTTGGTTGATTTTGATTCTGTCCTGAACATCTGCATTGGTTGACACGACTATTCAGGTAATGAACTGAATGATGAGAAATTGTTTGGTGTGGAGAACGTTGACAGGAACAGCCTGGTAACAGCAGTAGGAGCAGCGGCTGGAGCAGGATTAGCTCAAGAACTTCATGTCAACGATGCAAATCAAGCTGCCGCCAAGCCTCTATCTGTAGCCGGAGATAGTTATTTGCCAGATACATCCTCCTTAGGAGATGAGGATGATGATGAAGAAGTTGAAGAAGATGATGGTGGCGGTCAAGCAGTTAACTCAGGCCTGTCTGGGTTGTCTCTTGGTGGAAGTTCAGATGTTACACCTAATCCTCTCAGTGCTGGTAAGCCCAGTGTTTTATGTTCCATGATAGAAATACTATTCACAGAGAATGACAGCATACGTCTGGGTAGACCCCTTGGTTAGCAGGATGCGTTTACTTGCCAGTTGCTTCTGGCCTTTTGTCAGTTTGTGTGTATGATTTTTGAGAGTAGCTGCCGCGCTACATGAGCGGAAAATGCCATGGCAATTCCAGAAAGCGGAACTACAGGAATCGCTTGGCGGAAACTGAAATCCGCTGCTTCCAAAATTCTGTAAGGGGAACTTTACTTCTGCATTCTTGCTTCGTTGGAAGCACTTGCATTCTGCCATATATGGACTTGCTGTGACTAAGTTGCGTGCGTGTGTATGTGTGTGTGTGTGTTTATCTGTTTGAACAATGTGTGGAAGATATCCACAGAACTTGGATTTACCGTACCGTATGCATCGCAGTACACTTCGTTGTCAAGCTTTACCACCATCTGCTTTGCAGATCATGTCATGTTCAGACCCAGTGCAGTAGTGTGTTGCATGCATGTCGACATTTCCAACGATTCCTAGTAATTCCAGGACAGTAAGAGCCGCATCCCACCGGCCTGTGTAGTTCCACAAGACGCGCGAGTTTTAGAGTTTGAATTGAAGAAAATGAAAATGTTGAGCGGTTTCTGCTTCGATGGCAGCACCACGTTGGCGTAGTCGTAAAGCATTACTGGCCTAAAGCGAAGGCCTCTGGTTGAGTCTTGCTGGTAAGAGTGTTAGAGAGCTTTCGCACTAAACTTCACGGTTTGGTTTGCGAACATTTACGCGAAAGTTCGTGCAATGGCTGTGTTCCGCATAATCTTTGCTTTAAGGAAACGTGTGTCTGAAAAGTGGTCTTCATCAGATCAAAGAGTGCATATTTTGTGAGTGGCCATACCCTTAGGCGAGAGCTCTCAGACTACATTGTTTTTTTTTTTCTGGAGAACCATAGACAAAATTAATGGATTGACGTTTGCCGCAATCAGTGGCAACAAAACCCAGTCCAACTGCAAGTCAAACAGAACTCTGCACAACTCGTACTGTCAACTCTGAAGAGCTACAGCCGTCAGGAGAGCTACAGCCGTCAGTCAGGAGATTACCGCCGTATTTTCCAGAGTATAAGCCGCACTTGGACCACTCAAAATTCACCCAAAAAAGGGGTGCGTCTTATACTCCGATGATCAAATTAACGGTGATAGATAGGATAGATTTAACTCGGACACTGAGCCAATAAATATAATTAAAATAGAAGAAATCACATGGACACGAGTTATGAAGCAACTATCCACGACTGTAACAAGACAATAAGCAGTCAGAAAGTGCGATAACAGGGCACAAAACTGACATGTTACTGAGACATTCAACGACCTGAGACCTAGCTCTCACACACCTCCAGTGCGCAAACCAACAGCCTTCCAGCTAGGAAGGTTCAAGGTTATGGTAGGACCAATGAGGGGTCATAGTCCTGTAACGGTCGGCATTCTTTGTTGCTGTGCGACTTAGCTTGTGCTCACCTTCCCCTCATTGGTCCTGCTCGGAGACTCTAGACAGTGAGATTGACTTTGTTCTATGATTATCTGGATATGCACAGACCTGTGAGAAGTATCGCAATTTGAAATGTTTTGCTGCTGCTGCTACTGCTGCTGCGTCTGTTGCTGCTCCTGTTAAGTGGTTCCAACAGAACCGCTCACGATTGTTTCTAGGATGAAGAAGGTGCAGCACAGCAAGTGTGAACAAACACGAGCAAGAGAAGTAACAAAGTGTGACGGCATGATAGGATGTTTCATCAGCCAGTGCAATGAAGATGGAGCATTCTCCAGCATGCAATGCCATGATAGTACTGGGTATTGCTGGTGTGTTGACACGTTGGGACAACGGATAGAGGCAACAGTTTCTCCTCCAGGCCATGCACAACCAAACTGTGATGCTGTATCTCGTGAAGGTAGCAGCGAGCCGGCATCAGCTGGTGTTGAGACATCTACGCTACCTGTCCAACGCAGTGTAACTCCGTACGGTCTGGCATCGGAAAATACCCTGAGAGAGCCAAGTAACTTGAGTAAGTGCAATTCCTAGACGATGTAAACTGATGTTTTGAAAGACTACCACTGAGTGGTCCTGGAACAGGGTTCAATCATTAGCCACTCAGTTTTACACCCTTGTTCGGCAGTTTCTGTCAGAGCGCATTGGTTTCAATGATTGTGATGCGACATTGGTTGTACGTGAACAAACTGTTCAACCACTGCAGAATCGCCATCCATAGACACATCTGCAGGAGAGCAGTTGTTGCGATGAGATATTGTTTAACATCGGATAAGAGAATGATTGATATGGAAGTAAGCTCTGCCTTATATGGGAGAGAAACAAGGCAGTGATTGGTTGTAGGCGGAGTGACATGGAATGATGCTGAGTGCAGAGTGGGTAGTTTATGACCGGAACACCAGACCAATCCGAAACTCTTTCTGTCAGTTGTGTCATGCATGTGTAGGTCAGTAGAATGTTGCCAGATTTGATGATGTCCATGAAGATCATGAAACACCACTGATATCAATACTCTGTTCTATTTCCATCTCCCTGTACCAATGTCTCTTCATTATCTTCTGCCTTGTTTTCTCTGACTCCCTCTCTATTTCCTTCTCTTTCGCTCTTATTCTTCTCATTGTTCTCTCTGGTGCCTGTGTCTCTGTCGATTAATTGGGCGGTATGCCCGTCTGTATGGATGTTGATTCAGGACAACGTCAGTCCAGCGCTGTTTTGATGAAAGAAGCAGTGACCGGTGAAGAAGACCCATCGGTGAGGTTGACTGATAACCATGCCAGAGCAGCAGTTGCAGATCAACCTGTACTCACTGCTAGTCCTGATAGCAGCATCAGCACAAGCAGCAGGAGCAACATCAGAAGTAGTAGAAGTGATACGCAGGATGAGGATTCAAGTAGTGCTGAAGGGAATGCCCATCCACTCGAAGCTGCCAACATCTTGCTATGGGTGATAGTGGCGTGCTGTATTGCATTCACTGTCAGCATTCCATTGCTATTCGTGTGTCTGTACAGATGGCTGAGAAGGTGAGTGGGAATACAACATCACGTTGCTGCCTCTATTTCCATTTCAAAACTCACTGACGTACTGTAAGACCACTTGTTTGAACGTCAATTAATGTTAAAGGTCTCCGGATTTTTGTTGGTTAGCAACGAGAAATGTTGGCGAATCCTGGCTGTCAAGGCCCACAAAAAACTGTACATACCAAAGATACGTACTGGATATCTATCTGTTCCTGTTTGTTTTGTCCTTTCCTAGGACAAATGATCCCGTCAAACCCTACATTGTATACAAGAGGCAGCCAACAGCATCAGACTCTGCTTCAGCATCCATCGCTGGCAACACTGCTGGCAGTGATAGAGACAAAGAGGTATGTATCTTCCTACTACATGTACCTGGCCTACACTACACCACACTACACCTCACTGCACTACACCACACCTCACAACACCACACCTCACTGCACTACACCACACCTCACTACACCTCACAACACCACACCTCACTACACTACACCACACAACACCCACCACACCTCACTGCACTACACCACACCTCACTACACCTCACAACACCATGGGCCCACACCACACCACACCACACAACACCACGTCACAGCTCAGCACACAACACCACACTGCGATACACCACACTACACAATACCGCACTGTACTGCCGCTCTGCCCTGTCCTGCTCTGCCCCGCTCTCTCCTGTCCTGCTCTGCCCTGTCCTGCTCTGCCCTGTCCTGCTCTGCCCCGCTCTGTCCTGTCCTGCTCTGCCCCGCTCTGTCCTGTCCTGCTCTGTCCCGCTCTCTCCTGCTCTGCCCTGTCCTGCTCTGCCCTGCCCTGCTCTACCCTGCTCTGCCCCGTCCTGCCCCGTTCTGCCCTGCACTGCCATCCTGCCCTGCCCTGTTCTACCCTACCCTGCCCTGCCCTGCCCTGCTCTACGAAGCACTACGCTACGATGCATTACACTCCACTCCACTGCACGACTGCACACCACGCCACACTGCACTACACCACACCTCACCTCATTGCACTACCCGACAGCACACTGCACAGCACTGGGCTAAACTGCATTACACCATATCACACCAGACCTTACTGTATTGCACTCCACAGCACACTGCACTGCACTGCACTGCACCACATTACATTGGACTACACCCCATAACCTCAGTGTTTATTTACATGTACATGCTCGCATTGCGCATTTCTTGTGTAAAAATACGGTTTGTTGGCATGTGTGGAAAGGCCACCTCGGCATCAGCCCCTTTTTTAGAGTACATATAGCAGTTCTCCATACAAAATGGTGTTAATGAACACAAGCATGTTGTCACAGGCATGTTGTCACAGGCATGTTGTCACAGGCATGTTGGGGTGAACAATGAAATCTGTTCTGACTATCACTCTGTAAGGTGACCAGCTGTAGCCCGAGAACCACTACCCCCCCCCCCCCCCCCCAGCACTAAACGGTTGTACATCCACGCACTTGAACCTGAATATGGTATCCTACACATGTACATAGGGACCATCCTGGTTCCCTTCAGTAGGGATCTCAGCGCGTGCAGTGCGCAGGGTGTTTGCGCATACATTGCGTCATCGAGTTTTGAGTGCAGCTCGCGGACACAGCAGAAAAATGGCGACGGTCGATTTTCGACACTAGGGGACGCGGTGGACACTAGCGGAATCGTCATCTTCATCGTCGTTCGAACATACTTTGTAATTCCCGCCGAAGGACAGCGTGGCCAAGGCGATATTGCCCCGGTCGATTTTCCTATAATTTTCCATGCGGCAAGAACCCACTTCAGAGAGGATTCAGTCAAAAATTCAGACGTTTTCTCCGGTTAGATTGTCCTAACTTCGATTTTCAGTGCATCAGCCATCGCGAACATCGCCGCCATTATCACTCGGAGAGAAGACATCGCGCTCAGTAGAAGAGGTGTTCACGCTGCGTCCAAGAGTGAAAGATTGTGCTCTTTGACCCTCCATAGTTCCTCTGAGAGAGTGTCTGGGAGATAGGTAGCTTGGAGATGGCCGTAGAACGTGCTTTCCTGGACGCAATATTCAGCCATTTCTACTGTCTTCTTCAACTTGATTTATTTCGAAAAAAATGTTCTTTTCCATGATTTCTGCACTGGAAGCGTTTGGGATCGAAAATCTCACCTGCGCAGACTGGCTGCGCAGTTCACGCGCTGAGATCCCTACCTTCAGCATTCATTGAACTCAGTGAAGCCATGTTTCAAAGTAACAATACATCTCAGAGTTCTTCAACCTTTGCTTTGTGCTTTGTGAATGCATGTGTGTGTGCGTGTGTGTGTGTATGTGTGTGTGTGTGTGTGTGTGTGTGTGTGTGTGTGTGTGTGTGTGTGTGTGTGTGTGTGTGCGTGTGCTTATTGGCAGTTACTGCTGAGGACAGCTCGTAGCCATCGTCATGGCAGTGTCTCCACACTCTCAGAGAAATCTGTTCTTCTTCCATCACAACAGTAAGTTATGCAGAGCTTGGTAACTACTAGATCAAACTATCACTCTATCAGTCTATTACCAAGCACACGCTACGCACAGTTTATGGGGAAGTTTCAAACACGTACACCCATTGCACAACTACTCCACACTTGGTTTCGTGCACCAGCACATCTTCTCCAGGCGTCAGGGGCCCAGCCTCCCCGCCCATCCGACTCGCCACACACAACAGCGCAACTGAACTAAAAGTTCTACATATTATCTTGACAAGACGAAGACGGACAGACAAGAAGACCGGACACGACAAGGCAAAACTGATAACCAAAGAAAAGGACAAACGTTGCGGCAGTATATAATGAGCATGCGCACGAAATAATGTTGCACGCGCGACGATGACGTAAGCGTTGCATGGTGTATACATGTACAGAAGACTGCACATGCAACCAAAACAATGCAACAAAGTCAAGACTAAACCACTACACAATAAAACTAAAGAACAACATAAAGAAGCCATGAAAAGTCTTTCACTCTAGACCCGTTGCGCAACATACTCCCCGCCAAAGACCTTTTCAAGGCTCAAGGAGGCTGCAAACTGTACTACATATAATCTATGCTGCACGCATAGATAATCTAAGACTCACAAACGGCAAAATAAATAATAACAAATGAACGATCAATAGAAAATACAAACGGAAGTCAGCTTCCGAACGGTCACCAGGCACCAGCAAATCAAGGCAATAAACTACAGTCAACATCCGACCCATCACCAGGCCAGGCACAAACAAATAACCTACGGGGCCAACAATACATCCGACCTATCACCAGGCCAGGCACCAACACATCGAGTACAGATCACACAAATCGAGCAAATCAAAACTACAAACTTGTACAACAAATCAAAGCGGGAGCACCTTCTAAACTCCTTCGCACTCATGGCGGGTTATTTGTTCACGATGCGTTTTCCTTCGCACCCTCCATGTCCTTCTTCTTGTCGTCGAGAACAGCGCCCCGCAGGGTTCCTCCACTGTGGACGACCGTACCGTGGGTTATTTGATTTCGATGCGTTTTCCTTCGCACCGTCCTTGTCGTCGGATTCAAGCAGCTCCCTCGGAGGTCACCCAATCCCAGGTACAAACTGCGGACAACGGCGCAGCTCCCTCGTTGGTCACTCGTCCAGTCTGGCACGGTGCAAACTGCCTCCCAACGACGTAGACGTACAAATGGTTATTTGATTTCGATGCGTTTTCCTTCGCACCGTCCTTGTCGTCAGACTCAAGCAGCTCCCTCGGAGGTCACACAATCCCAGGTACAAACAGCGGACAACGGCGCAGCTCCCTCGTTGGTCACTCGTCCACTCGTGCACGGTGCAAACTGCCTCCCAACGACGTAGACGTACAAATGGTTATTTGATTTCGATGCGTTTTCCTTCGCACCGTCCTTGTCGTCGGACTCAAGCAGCTCCCTCGGAGGTCACACAATCCCAGGTACAAACTGCGGACAACGGCGCAGCTCCCTCGTTGGTCACTCGTCCACGCATGCACGGTGCAAACTGCCTCCCAACGACGTAGACGTACTAATGGTTATTTGTTCTCGATGCGTTTTCCTTCGCACCGGAGTTCCTGCAAGTTCCTCGTCTTCCTGACAATCCTGGCGTGGTCGCCAATTTCGTGCACCAGCACATCTTCTCCAGGCGTCAGGGGCCCAGCCTCCCCGCCCATCCGACTCGCCACACACAACAGCTCAACTGAACTAAAAGTTCTACATATTATCTTGACAAGACGAAGACGGACAGACAAGAAGACCGGACACGACAAGGCAAAACTGATAACCCAAGAAAAGGACAAACGTTGCGGCAGTATTATAATGAGCATGCGCACGAAATAATGTTGCACGCGCGATGATGACGTAAGCGTTGCATGGTGTATACATGTACAGAAGACTGCACATGCAACCAAAACAATGCAACAAAGTCAAGACTAAACCACTACACAATAAAACTAAAGAACAACATAAATAAGCCATGAAAAGTCTTTCACTCTAGACCCGTTGCGCAACACTTGGCAGTGGATGGTCTCACAATAAGTTAGATACGTTCGGAATGAACAGACAATGACATGGAAGGAAGAGAAAAGGAACGTCGACATGATTTCAGAGAGAACTACGAAGGACGCCAAAAACAACAATGAACACATGCGCATGCTTGCTCAGCATGAATGACATAATCCAGAGTAGTAATAATACAACCGCAAGTTCATCATGATTATATCATCCACTATGCACTGTGTGTGTATGGAATATGCCATGTGTGGCTATGTTCAATCATGACTATACAGTCATGTAGTTTACACTTGCAACCATGGGTTGGGGTGTTTGAATGTGGTCAATCAGTTTGAATGTGTTCACTTTGTTCAATCAGTGCATTCTAACATTTAATACACTGTTATCTTTCAAGATTCAGCAGGACAGAAAAGAATTCCTCGATTTTCCTTTCCTGTAAAATTATTTCTTATCAGAAATGTAGAAGTACAAGTATTTTGGAATCCTCGACTCTGACGAACAGCTACTAATGCAGATGTGTTGGAGATTAACTGAGCTAGATGGGCCTGAACAACGAATGAAGATACGATTTTAAAAGTATGATTTACTGCACGAGTACAAGTGTGTACAAGAACAATACTGGCTGATAACATAATTATGTAAC